CTCCAGCTACTGGATCTCCGACGGCTGGTTCTGATCCGTCATCTCCTAAGTCTGCGTGGGTCTCGCCGCTTCAAGAGACTTTTGCTCCACGTCCAAGCCTGTTTTCAATCTAGTCGACGATGTCGCTAGAGTTTCCGTTCCATCAGAGATTGTTGATGAAGGTTTACCTCTTTGGAAATGTTTTGTAATGGGATATTTCATGGGTGATGCGCCGCAATTGGGGACGATTCATGCCACTGTGAATCGTATATGGAATTCTGCTAGCAAAGCCTCACGTATTGATGTTTAGTTTCTGGTGAGGCCTCAAGCAAACTCTCTAAAAGCTTCCACTCGGAAGTTCTAATGACGTCTATTTTTTCATGGAACATGCGTGGGTTCAATAAGCCGCGCAAACACAATGCTGTTCGATAGTGGGTGCAATCACATAAATTTGCAGTTGGTTGTCTTCTTGAAACTCGTATCCAGGAGGATAATTTTTGGCCTATTTTTGAGTCAACGTTCCCTGGATGGCAGTGTCTTCACAATTATAGATATAACAGGTTGGGGAGAATTTGGGTCTGTTGGTCGGAAGAAGTTGATCTACATCCTATTCATATGAGTGCTCAACAAATCACTAGTTGGATAAGATTTAAATCAACGAGAGAATTTTTTGTTTGTTCTTTTGTCTATGCATCTAATTTTGTCATTGAAAGAAGAGAGTTGTGGAAGGAGCTCATTGATATTCAGGCAGGTTGTGTACAAGCTATTAACTCTTGGATTGTTGTCGGTGATTTCAACGTCACACTAGCTTCTACAGAGCATTCACGGTATCTCGACTACATTCATGAGCAGTCTGGTATGCGTGACTTTCAGAATGTGGTACAACAATGTGGCCTAGAGGATTTGTCATATGTTGGACCAGTGTTTACTTGGACCAACAGTCAAGATGATAATCCTATTAGTAAGAAGTTGGATCGTGCTCTAGTGAATAGTTGTTGGCTGAGAACTTTCTCTAGTGCTTTTGCTTCTTTTAAAATGGGAGGAGTCTCGGACCACGCTCAGCTTTGGGTACAAATCAGAGCTCCATCACGTTCAAACCGACGGCCTTTTCAATTTTTTAATCATCTTACCTCACACCCGCAGTTTTTGGAAATTGTGGCACAGATTTGGACATCATCACAGCCGCTGTTTCGTTCTAGATCTGCTCTAACTATGCTGCACAAGAAGTTAAAATCCTTAAAAGAGCATCTAAGGCGTCTAAACAGAGAGCGTTATGGCGATCTTCCCTCTCGGATTAAGGCTGCATATGAGTTACTGTGTGTTAAACAAAATGAAGCTTTGCAGAATCCTCAAGTTGTGGCTTTTGAGGCTGTGTCAGAGGCTTGTGAACGATGGAATCATCTAGCAAGTATTGAGGAGCAGTTTTTTCACCAAAAATCAAGGGTTAAGTGGATGCAATTTGGTGATCAGAATACTAGCTATTTTCACAAGATTGGGGAGGGTCGTGCGGCTAGGAATGCTATAAAACTCTTAAAGACTAGTAGTGGAGAGGTTATAACAGAGATAAATGACATAAAGGCTGAAGTAGTGCGACATTATAAATCATTTTTACAAGACCAGCAATCTGAAATTCAGGTTCCTTCGGTAAATAATATCTCGCAACTGGTTTCATTTCGTTGTGCTAGTGGAGATGCATCACAGTTAATTCAGCCTATCACTGCGGAGGAGATACGAGACACAGTGTTCTCAATGCCATTGAATAAAGCGCCAGGTCCAGACGGATACACCGCTGAATTTTTTAAAGCAGCCTGGCCGATAGTAGGTCGGGATTTCATTAATGCGGTATAATCTTTTTTCCTTTATGGTTTTATGCCAAAGGGAATCAATAGTACTATCTTCACTCTAGTTCCGAAGGTTACTAATCCAGAAACAATGAAGGACTACCGGCCAATAGCTTGCTGCAATCTTATTTATAAGATAATTTCGAAGATATTGGCTTGTCGTCTCAAACAAAATCTGCCTAAGGCCATTGATTTGAGCCAAAGTGCGTTTGTTAAAGGCCGTCTGCTGTTGGAAAATGTATTGTTAGCTACTGAGCTGGTTAAGGATTATCACAGGCCATCGATATCTACAAGGTCTGCTATTAAGATTGATATAGCGAAAGGTTTTGACACGGTACACTGGTCATTTATTGTATCCACACTCCGAGCAATGCAATATCCAGAGCAGTTCATCTTTTGGATATCTCAATGTGTCTGTAAATGGTGAGCTTGAGGGTTTTTTTACAAGCTCTTGGGGTCTCAGACAAGGCTGTTCACTCTCTCTGTATCTCTATGTGATAGTGAGTAATGTGCTCTCTGGGTTACTAACACAGGCTGGGATGGAGAAACGTATTGGAATTCATCCTAAATGTCAAGAATTTAATCTCTCCCACTTAAGCTTTGCTGATGACACTTTGGTGTTCACCGAAGGAACTCCACAGTCTCTCCATGCTACGCTAGAGGTATTTGCAGACTTTGCGTGTATGTCGGGCCTAAATATAAACATCTCCAAATCCTCGATTTTTGCTGCGAGCAGAGGTAAAGCTTCCCTTGAGCAAGCTGCGGTGAATTCTGGTTTAGAGGTATGTGCATTACCTATTCGTTATCTTGGACTTCCGCTTACAACAAAAGCTATGTCTAGGGTCGATTACGAACCGTTGATTGATACGATTAGAGACAGATTAACAAGCTGGACTACGAGGTTTTTATCCTATGCAGGTAGGGTCCAACTAATCAAATCGGTCATAGCAAGCATCACAAATTTTTGGTGCTCCGTTTTCACCCTCCCGAAGAAATGTTTTAAGGAAATCGAAGGCATGTCTTCTGTGTTCCTTTGGAGTGGCTCTCCAAATATTCTTTATTTGGAAGGTACTATCAGGCTCTGGTTCTTTATGGGTAGCATGGGTCCGTCGGTATCTAATATGGGAAGGCACACTCTGGGATGTAAAGGAGACTACTCTGGGTTCATGGCAATGGCGAAAACTTTTAAAGTTGAGGCCATTGGCAGCTGAGTTTATGAAATGTGAAATTGGAGATGGAGAAACACTTTCTTTTGGCTTGATAGATGGCTTCCCATGGGACGGCTGATGGACATATTGGGGACTACAAATCAGCTTGGAATCTCTAAATTCGCTAAAGTCTCTGAGGTAGTAGATACATCGGGATGGAGATTCCGCAGATGTCGGGACAAAATTTTAAGGGATATAATCCAACACATACGACGAATCAAGGTACCAACAGGTAATGCGGGAAGGGATGTGGTTCTGTGGCGACACTCACCGGATGACTACCGACCAGTGTTTGCGGCTGCTACTACATGGGAACAGCTGCGAACACGTGGAGAAGCAAAGGAATGGTGTAAGATTGTCTGGTTCCCGCAAAATGTCCCTCGGTTTGCTTTTATCACCTGGTTGGCAATAAGGGATAGACTCACCACGGGGTCACGGATGAGAGCATGGGGAGATAGTCAATCCTGCCTCTTATGTGGGAAACTGGAGGAAACACGTGATCACTTATTTTTTGCATGTCTTTATTCTTTCATGGTGTGGATACGGGTAGTGGGTGACCTGCTCCGGGCTGACCCGGATCCTGACTGGACAGCGACGGTTCAGAGGCTAACAACACATTCGTTTGAAAGATATGACTACATTCTCATCCGGTTGTGTTTCCAAGCAACTATATACTACTTATGGCGAGAGCGTAACGAAAGGAGACACAGTAAGTAGCACCGTACACACTCATTGTTGGCTAGGACGATTGAGCGGGTGATAAAGACAAGAATCATGTCTTTGAGATACTTTGAAAGTAAGAAGCTAAGAGGTTTGATGCAAAGATGGCACAGTTCACATTCGACTTAATAGGTGGCTATTGCTCTGTTTTGCTATACGTTTCTTTGCTCTGTTTTTCTACTCATGTTTTGGCTCTGATATTTGTTCATTTACCGACTATCTATAAGATTGTTAACTCGTTACAATGGGTCAACAAGTGAACCATTACTCTTTGCTGGTCTCGGGAATTGAGCTGGAATCCAGGGATCCTCCCAAACTGATATGGATGTCTCCGATCTGACACTTTTGATAAGTCCTTTATTAACCAAAGATCTAGCTGAACAGATACTACGCCATCCATATGATGGGGAGTATGATTTTATATTTTCCAAGGGATTGGATTTCCGAAAATACTGCCCTTTTAACACCTTCGCGAAAAGAAAATCTGGAACTGTAATCAACCGCCACAATTGTTTGGCTAATTGGGCTGAAGTAAAATCGTCTACATTCTGAAAACCTAACCCTCTTTCCGATTTGCTATTGCACAACTTGTTCCAAGCCATCCAGTGCATACCTCTGGAATCCCCATTTGAACTCCACCAAAATTTAGCAACCGCACTAGTAAGTTTAGAAGTGATTTTTTTGTTAGTCCGAAGCACGACATAACATAATTTGGTAATGCTGCAGCTACCGATTTAATCATTACTTCTTTCTCACCTTTTGATAAAAATTTTGCCGACCATCCATTAATTCTTATTTGCAATCTAACTATGACAAAAGAGAAAATTTTTGTTTTAGATCCACCCAAACACTCTGGCAAACCGAGATAAGAGCCCATCCCACCGATATTAATGATTCCCAAGGTAGATTTGATTTCATCCTTGATATCCTCATCTACCTTATGTCCAAACTGAATCGAGGATTTTAAAAAATTAATCCGCTATTCTGACACCGCTTCATATTTCTTTAAAATCACCAAAATTACCTCACACTGGTCCTTGTTTGCCGTACAAAAGAATAAACTATCATCCGCAAATAACAGATAGAAAACCGATAGGCTTGCATTTGCTATCTTAATACCTGTAATTAGTTTTTCCCTTTCTGCTTTCCGAATATTCACAATTAGCACCTCTTTACAAAAGATGAATAAATAAGGAGATAGCGGATCTCCTTGTCATAATCCCCTTTCCGGTACAATTAGTCCTCTAGGTTGTCCATTAAGGAGCACTCTATATTGAACTGTTGTAATACACCACATTATCTAGTTGATCCATTTTTCGCAGAAACCCAATTTTCTTAGAACCTTCTCAACGAAAATCCATTCCACCCTATCATACGCTTTACTCATATCAGTTTTAATAGCCATGAAATTTCCTTTACATGAAGGTTAGTTCTCAACCTATGAAACATCTCTTGTGTAATAAATATATTATTAGAAATCAATCGTCCTTCGACAAAAGCCGACTGTGTTTCCGAGAACAGTTTTGGTAAAACTGTTTTAAGTCTTTGACAAAGAATCTTTGATATAATTTTATAGCCCACATTACACAGACTTATAGGCCGTAATTCTGGCATCGGTGTCGGTCTTTCCGTTTTTGGAATTAGACAAATGTTAGTCGTATTTAACCGTTTGTCGAAAATTCCATGCTCTAAAAAAGAATTAACCTAAACAAGAAGATCTGATTTAATTGTAAGCCAAGCCTTTTGAAAAAATAAGGCTGTCATGCCATCGGGCCCTGGCAATTTTTCCAGATGGTTCAGAAACAGAGCTGTTCTCACCTCACTCCGTAGCATGTACCGTTAGAAAATTATTAAGCCGATTCGTAATCAGACTTTGTATTTCTGCCAAGGACTCCTCTAAAGCCTCGGTCTTAGTTGTAGTAAACAGATCTTTAAAATAAGAAACAACTATATTTTGAATATCTTTATCCTCTGCAGACCGAATCCCGTTTTCATCATATAGCCCCGTAATCAGATTCCTTGCCCGTCTCTGTTTTGTTAGAGCGTGAAAGTACTTTGAGTTATTATCTCCTAGTTGCATCCAAGAGCACCTACTTTTTTGATACCAGTACAATTCTCATCTCAATAAGCTTCTTTCAACCGCAATGTTAATTCCGTAATCTCCTGTCATCACTCTGTGCCACCTGTAATTCCGATTTAAGTTCCACAATTGTTTGTCGCCCATAAGGAGTTAGTTCTTTCCTCCATTGCGAAATAGCCCGCCTACAGTTATTCAACTTTTCCACAAATTTTCCTTCTCCTAATTCAGAATCCGAATTCCAACCATTTGAAATTGCCTCCATTAATCCTTCCTTTCCAATCCATCTCTTGTATAACCTAAAACTTTGTTTCCCGCGTGGTATCTACTATACATTTTTGCAGCAGTTTTAAGGGATCCTAATCGGGTCGGATTTTTTTTAATTTTGACCCCGGAAATCTTTGTTGATTCTGACCCGGAAAATTCAATCTCGGATCTTACCTTAATTGATCATTTGACCCGAAATATCTCAATCCAATCCTACCATATTTGATACTTTCCTACATAAAATCCAAACCACATTTACTCAATATATCAAGAGTATATGTAGTTATAACTTATAATAAACCGATATTTGCAAATCAATTTGTTTTTATAAACCGATATTTGCAAATCAATTTGTTTCCTAATAAAATGCTAGAGATTTAAGCGTTTAGCATTTGTTTCCTAACAAAATTGAACCATATTAATTTGATATTCAAACATTCTGAAATTACGATATTTTTTAGATATTTTTACTTGCTCACCAAGATTTTCTCTGCTCACACAAAACCCTACCATATATCTTTTCAAAGCACTATATATATATATATATATATATATATATGTCTCATTCGCATCAACTAATATCACAAGGATCGCAACTAAGATCAAAAGGTATTTATGTCTCATATTTTCTTAAACACATTTTATACTCATCTAGGAACTCAATAGTTTCTTCTTTTAAAAGAATAAGATCACAATGTATGAATGCCTATAGGCTCAAGAAAAGCATCGAAGTTCAGGTATCTCTATCATACATACTATATATACTTAATCTAAATCATTGAAATTTTTTGAAAATACATGTTTCTTAGATGTAGATGTACTTGATTTAAACCTTCTGTCCTAATTTTCCAGATGAGGGTGAGCCACTATTCGATTGTATAGACTCTAAAGAAGAGTACCACACAAAAAATGCAGATCATTACATTGCATCCTCAAGTGCACGTGAGGATTATACCAAATCCATTGCTAATTGTTTTGCATATCCAATAAACCTATCCAAGAACCATCTTTATGTATTTTCTTGAAGCTATGTTATTCTTTGGATTATCAAATATATATTATTTTTTGATTTGCTATATACTTTTATATATAGCAGCAATATAAACCACATCAACAGATAAGTCAGACTCAACATTAAAATGAGTAAGAACTATCTAAATGATATTCTCCAACATAGAAACAAACAAAGCTTCCAAACTATCATGGAAAGAAGAAGTCATTGCTTTTCTACATTTAAGAAGACTTCAAACTAATAACTATTCACAGTATTTTGAAATAACACAAACCAAAACCTTAGTAGATGAAATTAGCATTTCCTAAATCAGTCATTGTTGTTCTCAAAATTGAAATTGAAGGACGGAGAGGATAATAATTCAAGATTGAGAGTAAAAAAGGGACTGACTTTGATGAGAAGGATGAGGAGAGCGGTCGATGTCTTGAAGTTCTTTAGCTGGCAAAGATGGCAGCAAAGCAGCTTCCAAAGCCGTCGTAGCTATAATCTCCTATAGTGATAATGTTTCCTAAAGCTTGACTATAATCATCTTCCATATACAATCCTTTAAAGAAAAAGTTATTAGTCAGCTAAACCTTCTTCTTTATGATATTTTGCATCGTTTACAGATGTACATAAGCTATAAGTTTATGTTTTTTTTCTCTCTTTAAGACCAAACTTAAACCATAGTTTTCACAATCAGAATCTTAATTCGGATTGAAGAGATGCAAAATAAAATCGTCTTTATATACCAACCTTAGGTGTACAGACAACAAATCTTTGTTTGGAAAGCAAATCATTCAAGATCTAATATAAATGTAACGATGCTGAAATCTCATACCTAGGGATTGAGAAGAAAATTGATTCAAATCGGAGCATATTCTTCGTACATCATGTAGAACCGATTATCATCACAGAAAAAAACAAATCAAACTGAGTAACTAACAGAATCGGATTGGAATTGGATTGGCAAGACATGGAAGCACTAATCGATTTCATCTTTTGTAGAGTGTTGTTTTGTTTTTCTCAGATAAACGACGAAGCTTTTTTTTTTTGGTCTTTTCCTATTTCAATTTTTTTTGTTAGAAAATATCATAAACACAAAATCTGTTTTCATTTTGGGTTTTGCTCTCTTGGCATATTTGGGCTTTCGTATTGTTTAGTGGGCTTCAAGCGTTTTATTGTTTGTTTGTTTGTTTTTGTTATACTAAAGTGAGGTATAAAAAGAAAATTTTTTATGAACACACATAGTCACATAAACAACACAATCTATAATTAATTAATTATCATATAAAATGTATTTGTTGCAACAACCAATTTAAATAAACTTAGATTTTAAACTATATAGAGAAAATAATTGTACCATTAAATCCAAAAACTTGGTTATTTTTAGATATAAGTCTATGTTAATTTTAACTATGAAAAAATTATTTTAATCCCTAAATTAAATATAGCTAATATTGTACTTTAGAATAGTAACGTAAAGACATGTAGCTTAATCGTATAAATATTTCACCATATAAAAGAAATAATATTACACTTTTAATATCCGAAACTTACATCTTATTACAAACCTTAAAACAATCAATCACAATTTTATAACAACAAAAATAAAATAAATTATATAAAACATAACATAAATTAGATTTATTCGTATAAAACCAACATGATTGTAACGTAAAATTTTATTAGATATTTCAATTTTGTAAAACATTTAAAGTATTTATAATATTTAAATTCTATAAAAAAGTATATAATATTAATAATATAGAGAATCTATATAAAAAGTATATATATATATATATATATATTATGGAAACATTTGAAAGCAAACTTTTAAATTGATGTATTTTAAATAAAAGTATTATTGAAAAGAAAAATAACAAAATGATGTTTAATTTAGCGGAAAAGGGTTATATAGTGGGACGGATTTTGGTCGATATTAATACGGGACGGTAAACCACAGGTGAAATCCTAGAATTAAAAATCAAATAAACATGTTTAACCAAAAATATGCAATACAATCTATATTTTTATCATAACATTTATATTTGATACACCAAGCAACTTTAAAATAATTGGTATTTTAATTATCGAGAGATAAACTAAAACTAATGTAGTCTCACAATAAAAACAATGCTATTACACTTAGAATATAACATATTTACATCTAACTAAAAACCGAATAGAATCAAACTTACGTTACAACAAAAAAACATACAAACTTAATAAATCAAATTCATCAGTTTAAAAATAAACTAAACAAATAATTAAATATTTTAACCCGCGGTGCACCGCGGGTTATATCCTAGTCTTATCCAATAACATAGCTACCACCGGTGAATGGTCGGAAGCAACCATTGGTAAATATTCAACGAAAGAGTTGCAGGATAATTCATGCCAATCTTCATTTGCTAAAGCTCTATCCAAACGACACCGTATTGGTTTTTTATCCCGCCAACCCCGCTAGGACAACCAGTCTCCGATTACTTTAACATCAATTCACCGATTACTTTCATAAACGATAGATACATTAAAATCATGATTATAATAAAGAGCTAAACAGCCACTACAATCGATAGGATCAACCGTTTTTAAAATTTTATAACCAAAATGACCGATAAAGTTTTTCATAAAAAAAAAGAAGATTGTTTTGTTTTTGAAAGAAATAAAAAATCTGGCCGGTGTTGTTTCCAAATGTCCCGAAGATAATCGATAGTTGCCTTATTCCCGAGCCCTTGACAGTTTCAAGTCGAAACCTTCATTTATCAACTTTGTGTTTTGGTGGGTTGCGTCCACCAGTGAAGTCCTTCACCGTGCCATGGTGCGTCAGGTTATGACATTCATTCCCATGATCTCCTAAATTTTGCAACCTTGTCATCCAAATTTTCCAATTAAAGAAAAGAGCTTGATCTTATGTTTCAAAACTTTGAGGAAAGCAGAACACCACATTGTTCAACATATAAAGAGTTACATAAAATACAAACTATAATCTCCAAAACCAAATCCCAAAAATATGGTTTCCAAAAACCCAATTGGGGACCAAATAATCTCCGATATTGAATAATAGAGATATGAAAACATCTTCCCAAAATGAAGATGATGAGTCAAATCTACAAATCTGAGAAACCACCAAAGAATAAGTGCGAAAATCCATCCTCATTAACTCCGATTGTAATGAATCCTCCTCTCTCTTTGTAATAAAGCATTGCAATCCTCCATTGAAAGCCTCCACATCAAAACCAGAAACAACCAAAGAGAACCAAATATGAAAAACATATCCATTGGATACGACCCTTAGGATCAACCGAGAAGAACCAAATCTGAAGCAAGATCCGAACAAAGCAAAACTAGACCTCATTGTTGAGTTTAGAACCCTAGATTCTACCTCCTCATCACCATCGCCACACAACACATCTGCATGAAAAGATTTTAGATCCTTCAAAACTCCACGACTTGACCGTCTCTCCTCAATCGTTTTCAACCGAAAGTATCTCTGATCCGCAGCTCAAAACCAAACTGCAACTGAAACAATCTCAAATTCTGACAACAACACATCCCAATCCAAAACATGTTGCCCACCGAAGCGCATCTCCAGAAACTCAAACCCCAAATACAACCGCAATCGAAGCAAACCGACCAAACTCTTCCTTTACCCAAATCAAATCCTCAACTTTTAGATACCCTGAAGCGAGATTAAACCGATTAATCAAACCCTCAAACTTCCAATCGAGAAAATATAATCTAATGAAATCCAGGGATCCATGATTGCCCATATTTTAGGCCGGAAAGGTTTGGAGCCCAATGGATCAAAACAGAAGAATGGAAGTTTTTTGAAACCGTACCCTTCAATGGGTTTGAAAGATTCACCTCCACGCATATCCTAGCAAACCGAGCCCTTTCACAATTTAGAGTAGTTGAATCAACCCTAAGTGGCTTCCCCAATCTTTTTGCGATACCCATCAGGATCGACTTGTGGTAGTAGTTTACTGGTATATTCGTCAATCGAACCCACACGGACGTCGTTACAATGTCATCTTTCAAAGGATCAAAAGTCGGTGACCAATCTTGAACCATCAGGTAGTTCCCGAACACCCTCCGTGGACCACCTATTAACGCCATGATATACCCTTCTTCCAACTCAAAGCGGATCATAAAGAACTGCCTTGGCAAATCCATAACAAACATAGATCCCTTTGGCTTTCCACAATTCTCTTAGCTTACGACTCAAGACGGATATAGGTATGTGGCTCCCCAACACCTTCACTATCATACAATTCTTCCACAGCCCGTTCATCACATGTAGCATCTCTTCACTGTTGGTTTAAGCTTGAATAAGGCTTAACTGGAAGTTTTCTTAAACCACAAGGCATTGGTTTATTAATGAGAAAAATGTTAATCTCTAGGAGAAATCTAGAAAGATCTTAGTATATCCTAATTGAGTTGTGATTAGGGTTAGATGTGTGCCTATATAAAGTCATATTGAGATGTGATATGACTTGTGAGTTTTGAGAGAACATTGAGAGTTTTGGTTTTGAGGAATTTTCCAAAGCTAATAAGAGAGTAATTCTTAAACTTTGTGTTCTTAATCTTCTTAGAATTCTATATTTGGTATCAGAGCCAAACTAAAGATCATGAACAGAGAAGATGGCAGAGCTTGTCGTCGCTAAGGGAAAGAAAGAAGGAGGAGAAAGAGGATCCTCATCAATTCAGTGCCCTATGCTGACTCCAATAAACTACACAATATGGGCTATGAAAATGAAGATCACCCTCAAAGTAAACAAAGCATGGGATGTTATTGAAACTGATGTTGTGGATAGCGATAAGAACGATATGGCTATAGCTCTGCTGTTTGAATCAATACCCGAAACTTTGGTGTTACAAATCAGAGAGTTGGATACTGCAAAGAAGGTATAGGAGGCAATCAAAGCGAAACATGTTGGAGCAGAAAGAGTAAAAGAAGCAAGATTACAGACCTTGATGGCAGAGTTTGATCGCCTTAAGATGAAAGATACAGAGACCATTGAAGCCTTCTCCGAGAAGTTATCTGAGATAGCTTCAAAATCAGCTGCGCTAGGAGAAAAAATTGAGTCAACTAAGCTCGTCAAAAAGTTTCTTAAAAGTCTTCCGCATAAGAAGTATATTCACATCGTGGCTTCTCTTGAACAAGTTTTAGACCTAAAGAATACAACTTTCAAAGATATCGTCAGACGTCTTAAAACATACGACGAGCGTATTAATGATGAGGAAGAAGCTCAAGACGATCAAAGTAAATTGATGTATACAAGCGCGGAAACTACTTACTAAGGGGATTACAGAAACAGAGGACGAGGTGGAAGAGGATTCTACAGGGGTAAAAGTCGTGGCATGTATGGTGGAAGAGACCTCTCGTAGATAACATGTTTTCAGTGTGATAAAACCGGTCACTTTGCATCACAGTGTCCAGACCGGTTGCTAAAGTTACAAGAAGCGCAGGAGAATGAAGTCAAAGATACACAGAATGCAGATGAGCTTATGATGCATGAGGTCGTTTACTTGAATGAAAAGCATTGCGTACCTAGCAGTTTTGAAACAAACATCAATGGAGAAGAATGCTGGTGTCTAGATAACGGTGCTAGTAATCATATGACTGGAGATAAAAGGTACTTTGATCAGTTAGATGAAACTATTACAGTGTTGGGGTCGGATCCCACACATTTTCGGTAGGATCCACTTGGATCTGTCCACGTCATTATTACATAATAATCCTCTCGGAATTCGAGATATTTTATTGAACTTGACTAGTTGGGAGTTCGATTCAGCTCACTAAAAGAGTTTGATCTTTACCAGTACGGAGTTCGCTCTTATTCAACATACAGTTCGGCCGAAGCGAGGAGAATATTGTTCAAGGCTCGCAGTAGCATCAACGCGCGGGAGTTCGGAGTCAGCAAGAAAGTGTTTGGAAAGCCCATGTGAAGCCCAAGACAATTCAAGTTCAAGCCGTTTCGGTCAAAATTGTAACTTACATGATTAATGCGGATCAATATAATTATGTACAGTGAATGACCGCATTAATCATGTTTTAGGTATAAA